AAATCGATCACATTTTTTTTTTTATTTTCTTAATTTTTTTTATTTTCTATAATTATTGTAAACATATGTACAGAGTATTTCAAAGTCGGGACACTCGACTTTAGCTTTTTTACTTGTTATACTCTGTACATGAAATACCCTCAGTTGGTTATTATGTGTCCGTATGCCAAGTTTCACTATGATAGACCGATTTAACGAGAAGTTATAGCCATAAATATATTTGCTGCTGCAGCGCTGCCCGCGGCTGTTGTTGATGTTGCTGTTTGGTTGACTGCGAAAATGCTTACACAGACACGAATAGATGCGCATAGGCATACATACACTCACACAGACGCAATTGCTATGTAAATGTGCAATTATAAACCCTTTACGTGAGTTCGAATGCCAAGAGAGGTAAAATCGATCAAATTTTTTTTTTTATTTTCTTAATTTTTTTTATTTTCTATAATTATTGTAAACATATGTACAGAGTATTTCAAAGTCGGGACACTCGACTTTAGCTTTTTTACTTGTTATACTCTGTACATGAAATGTACAAGAGTATATTAGGTTTGCGCGAGCTGAAAAATGTAACAGGCAGAAGGAGGCGTGGCAGACCCCACAAAGTATATATATTCTTGATCAGCATGATGAGACGAGTCGATCTAGCCCTGTCTGTCTGTCTGTCCGTCCGTATGAACACCTGGATCTCAGAGACTATAAGAGCTAGAGACACAAAATTTTGCACAAAGATACCTTATGTGTGTACGCTATACGAGTTGGTTTTATTTTTTTGATTACCCACCCCCCCCCCCCCCACTTCCCCCCATAGGGGTTTTCCCGATTTTCCATTCGTATAATCGCCCATATCTCGGAGACTATAAGACCTAGGAACACCAAAATTTAGTCCAAGATGCCTTGTGTGAATACGCAGAAAATGTATATTTTGGAATTTCCCTCCCTTTCCCCTCTCCCCCGATAATGTGATTTTCTCTAACTCCCGTAATTCTTGGAATTTTGTACTAAAATTGCTTTGTATATGTGCAATTATATACCCTTTACTTGAGTTCGAATACCGAGAAAGGTAAAATCGATCAAATTTTTTTAAATTTTCTTATTTTTTTTTCTATAATTATTGTAAACATATGTACAGAGTATTTCAAAGTCGGGAAACCCGACTTTAGCATTTTTACTTGTTTTTTTAAATTTTCTTAATTTGTTTTGTTTTCTATAATTAATGTTTTTTTTATAATTATGTACAGAGTATTTTAAAGTCGGGACACCCGACTTTAGCTTTTTTACTTGTTGTTTAATTATCTTAATTTTTGTAATTTCTATAATTGTTGAAGACATATGGCCAGAGTATTTCAAAGTTGTGACATCCGACTTCCGCTTTTCCACTTGTTCTTTTGTTGGTTTTTTAATTTTCTTTAACTATTCTTCACATATGTTTAAATAATTTTTAAGTCATGACACCCGACTTAAGCTTCTCCACTTGTTTATTAATACATACGCAATACAATTTTGATTCTTGCAGAACCGGTAGGTAGTGTGTCACCAAAAATTTCAGGCGATCGTCTGCAAGAAATGACTATATCAGCATTTACAAGCTTAGCAATTACATGTTTGGGTCAATCTTTTCCAACGCCTGCTTTTAGGTAAAAGAAAACAAAATATATCCATTGTTTTTTTTAAATTTATTTTGAAAGATTTGATATTTGTATAGGACACACTTTATAAAGCAGTATTATAATACCCGATAGTCTTGTTTCATGCAATATCAAACTTATTTAATTCTAAGAGTAATTATACGCCATTACTAATTTTTTCGAGCTTCCCCTCCAAGACAGCTGTCAGCAACAGCTGACTGTCGACGCTCACATTTGACTGACTAATCTTATATAAATCCTGTAACGCACTCAGCTATCAGCAACAGCTGACTGTCGACGATTACATTTGACTGACTAATTGTGTTTAATTTGGAATTTTGCGCAATTATGGGGTGTGCGTCTATAAATTGGTAAAATTGCATACTGACGATTTAGGTTTTGCAAAAACTAGCATTTGAAATTGAATTCACAAAAATACAAAAATGTACATACTTACATTTTATTTCCCTTGTCCGAATTGTAAATGTAAATGGCAGTTTATGTTGTTGTTGCCGCTGCTTTGGTTGAACTTTGTACTGCATACATACTCACCAGAGAACTGCAACGACTGGTTGTGAACGAACGCCCGCCAACCAGTCAGTTCGACATACACATGTTGTATGGTCAGTGGTTCGACTCACAACTGCAGACTCAGAATGAGCCGCCGAAACTTTTTGGTGCATGCAAGAAATGATCGAACGTCGTATTTACAATCATGCCCGCATGACCGAAATGACCACTGATATCTGCGGGTGCACGTGCACTTGCATTTTCTATTGTTTTTTCGGTTATTAGTTCAATAGTAACTTCGTATACAAGTACGTAAATGCATATAAATTAAAGAAGCCAACAAAACTATTAGCGAAAAGAAATACCTTCCTTCTTATTTAACTAAAAAAAAGTTAAGATATTTTAATTTATAATTATTTGCTTTTTTTTAAGATATTTCAGTTCCTTTTTTAAGAAATAAAATCATGCTAAATATCATAATATAAAAATAAATATATGTATGTATACATATGTTTTCTTTTCATTCTGTACCTTTTTATTTAAAATACCTACATACAGGGTGCGCCATCTTTTATGTCGGTGTGTAGATATTGAATGGCTTTGTCATTAGTGAACCGATTGACTTGAGTAGACCAGTGTTGAAAACCTCAGTTCAAGAAATTGTACAGAACCAAATTAAATAAAAATATCTCGTACTTGAAAATCGGTTGTTTATTTACAAAGGGTGAAAGGGTATACTAGTTTTGTGCGAATGTATGTAACACACGTAAGGAGGCGTGGCAGACCCCACACAAAGTATATAAATTCTTGATCAGGATGATCAGTCGGTATAGCCATGTCTCTCTGTAACTCCCATTATTCTTGGAATTTTGAACTAAAATTTAGTGGTCATCCAGTTAGTGATTATATATCCTTATCTCAAGTTTTATTATGATAGAAAGATTAAGATTGACAGAATTATGTAATGCGCACACTCATATGTACAAGTACACAGACACGCATAGACACGATTCTGATGTAAATGTAAATGTACGTATGGAATATTTTATATTTAATTAAATTTTCTTAATACATTTTTTTTTGTGGGGTGGTACAGGGTATTTAAAAGTTGAGTCTGCGCGACTTTAGCATTCCTTTCTTGTTTCTTTTTTGGTGGGAGGTACATGCTATTTGAGAGTTGAGTTCGCTCAACTGTAGCCTTCCTTTCTTGTTTCATATAAATAAAGTTTCATTTTATTTTCTTCTCTAAATTAGAAGCTTGTATACGGCCAAGTTTTGCTGCAGGAGTATGGTGGGACCAATACTGGAGTAATATAAATTGTGTGTTTAGTGTATGAATCTTTGGATAATATTAAAGAAATGCTGTAGCAGGGGAAGAGGGGAAAACGGTAAAAATATAATTTACTTGGGTTTCCTAGGGTTTAGGATAGTACACAAGTTAATGTGGGTACAGCCGCTTCCGAAATCCAGGCGTTCATCCGCACAGACAAATAGGTTGACCGATATATAGATGTATTTAGCTCGTCAAGCTGATTAGGAATATATTTGCTTTCTGTGGTCGGAAATGCTTTCTGTCTTTTACATAATTTTTACACACCTACTATAATATACACTTTTCTTTTAGATAATTTACACAAAACCGATTTTTGAAGTAAGTTGTTGATCAACTCTTTGACAAAAGAAATTGATTGAAAGTTGGCGGTGTGAAAAAATGCTTAGTTCTCTTGGGGCGCCACCATTATTTTATAAATATAAATAAAAGTAAAAACTCTTTAAATATCAAATCGTGGAGCATTTTTTTATTACACTAAATAGAACTGAATGAATGTGCAAAGTAACAAGAGAGAACGCTACAGTCGAGCAAGCCCGACAGTAAAATAGCCTGTACTCTCCACGAAAAAGAAAAACTAAAAAAAATAATTAAATGATTAAAAAAAAATTTTATTAATTAATTAATTAATTAAATTAAATTAGAAGGCATGTCTATGTTCAGTTTTAACAGCATACACGTGCCTATGCGTGTTTATATGCGTGTATGTATGCAGCACAAAGTTGAACCAAAGCAGCAACAACAACAACAGCTGCGGCAGCGGTGCAAGCAGAGCATGAGCAGCGATTTTATTTATGGCTATAACTTTCTTCATAATTGACCTATCATGATGACACTTGACATACGGACAAATAACCACGAACTGGATGTATATGCCAAATTTATAATTCCAAGAATTACCGGAGTTAGAAAAAACACGAATTGCGACGGAGTGGGGGGTGTATCAGAAAAAAACACAAACTCGATCTGCCTGCGGCTTAGGGGAACCTGAATGCCAAGTTTGGTTATCCTAACTATTGTACTTGCTGAGATCGTTGCGCTCATACAGACAGACGGTCGGACGGACAGACAGACGGACGGACGGACGGACAGACGGACATTGCTATATCGACTTGTCTTGTCATCGTGATCAATAATATATTATTTGTGGGGTCTGCAAAGCCTCCTTCTGTGTGTTACATACATTCGCACAAAACTAATATACTATACTTTACAGTTCAGGCGCGTTTTTTTTGTTCATACTCAAAGCAATTTGTTTTTATTTTGTATGCGGTATTGGGTTATAAGCTGCCATTTGTTAGGTTGATTAATTTTTGTTTGAAATGTGACTCAAAGTATCAAAAATGGTGCATAAAATGAGCAAATATCTTCATCCACATGGGTAAGTTATATAAGTACACTTGATTCGGGAGCATAAGGTGAGTACAAATGATATTATCATATGGAACGGCTAAGGTGGTTAAATAATTGCTCATTTTGTGCACTATAACCTACAAAAAACATTGTTAACTAATTTACATATATTTTTTTAGGTGGTATAAATTTATCGAAGGCACAACCCGCAAACAAGCTGTCGTACTCAATGATCGCGTTAAGCAAGTTTCTGGTACGCTCATAATCAGGGACGCAGTTGTCGAGGATTCAGGCAAATATTTGTGTGTTGTTAACAACTCTGTCGGCGGCGAGAGCGTTGAAACGGTTTTAACTGTAACTGCACCACTCTCTGCAAAAATCGACCCACCCACACAAACGGTTGACTTCGGTCGACCCGCAGTCTTTGTTTGTCATTATGCTGGAAATCCAATCAAAACAATAAGTTGGATGAAGGATGGCAAGGCTATTGGACATAGTGAGCCCACGCTTCGCATTGAATCAGTCAAAAAGGACGACAAGGGCATGTATCAGTGCTTTGTTCGTAATGATCAGGAATCTGCTGAGGCAAGCGCCGAACTAAAACTAGGCGGTAGATTCGATCCACCTGTTATCCGCCAGGCCTTTCAAGAGGAAACTATGGAGCCCGGCCCTAGTGTTTTTTTAAAATGCGTTGCAGGTGGAAATCCAACTCCAGAAATCTCATGGGAATTGGACGGAAAGAAAATAGCCAATAATGATCGTTACCAAGTGGGTCAATATGTGACAGTAAATGGCGATGTTGTCTCATATTTGAATATAACATCAGTTCATGCAAATGATGGTGGTCTTTATAAGTGTATGGCTAAAAGTAAAGTCGGAATTGCTGAGCATTCATCAAAGTTGAATGTGTATGGCCTACCATACATACGTCAAATGGAAAAAAAAGCTATTGTAGCCGGCGAAACCTTAATCGTGACTTGCCCTGTTGCAGGTTATCCCATAGATTCAATTGTCTGGGAACGTGGTAAATAAGTATTTTGATTCAGCCGATACGATTTGAATTAAATATCAATTGTTTGCAGATAATCGGGCCTTGCCTATCAATCGGAAGCAGAAAGTTTTTCCAAATGGAACGTTGATCATAGAAAATGTTGAACGCAGCTCGGATCAGGCAACATACACTTGCGTGGCAAAGAATTCTGAAGGTTACTCAGCGCGTGGCTCATTGGAGGTTCAAGTTATGGGTAAGTTGAAAGTTTCACATACTGCACACTCAACTGTGCCGTTTAACATTGCTAGGTTCTAGGGGACTTAGCTGGAATTACTTCTACGATTTACTGTATGCCGAACCGCGATAGTCACTTTGTGCTTTTCGTATTCTAAACTTTAGTGCCTCCTCAAATTGTTCCATTTAACTTTGGCGACGATATTATCAATATGAATGACATGGCTTCGGCAACGTGCACCGTAAATAAGGGAGATATTCCTATTGATCTGTACTGGACTACAGCACCGGATCCAAAAATTGGGGTTGGTCGTCTTATGTCAAACGATGGCATTTTAATCACTAAAATTGCAGAGCGCATCAGCATGCTAAGGATTGAATTTGTGCATGCACGCCACAGGGCAAATTATACTTGTGTGGCACGCAATAGTGCAGGGGTTGCATATCACACGATGGAGCTACGTGTCAATGGTGCCATTTTCACTTCTTTGAAAACTTTTGTATTTGATGCTCATATTGCTTACTATATTTTAATTCCGTTCATCCCAAATTACCACGTAGTACTGCAAATCTCAGATTCTTCCTCTTGTAACTCAAAAGTCAGATGAGCATTAATGGGCTACACAATGTTTCCGTCGTCGATGTGACCATGTGTACTCTACACCTGGCATTGCCGTGATCAAAAATAACATAATATTCAGCACTCTTTTTTTCCACAAAAGCTGTTTACAAGTGCTGCCGTTTGAAATCGACATTAATGGCAAACTAACGGCAACATGTGTCCCATTTCTTACTTATTTCTATTTTGGCTTGATATTCAGACGGAATTCCTACAAGTATATTGCAGTTTATTTAGGTTCCGTAATATAACAATCATTCTGTTAGAGAAAGCAATGCATTACTTTTAATATTATTTTAGTACTAATAAATTCTTATGCTTCTTAAAAATCCACGTACTATTGTCAGTACCGCCGTTAATTGCACCATTTTCCTTTAGCGATGATCCTGTAAATTCAGGTGAAAATGCCGGTGTGCAATGTATGGTACAAAAAGGTGATGTGCCAATAACAATTAAGTGGACATTAAGCTCTCGACCCATTGTAAATGGCGAGGAAGGAATAAACATACTAAAAATGTCGCCCAAGACAAGCGTCTTGAATATTGCCTCTGTGCAGGAACATCATCGGGGCTTATACAAATGCATAGCTGAAAATAAAGCTGGTACTAGTTTTATGATATCCCAGCTTTATGTTAATGGTATATATGACATTTGAAAACTTGCTTTTTTGCCATATGAATTGGTACTGCCTTTACTTTGTGATTATTTTTTGCATATAGTAAGCAATGCCACCACAATCCCTCTTCCTTAGAAAAGTAAACTTTTTTATATGGGTAAGGTTTCATGCTTAGAAATACGACCGTTTTGGAACTTACGATGATTGGGTACAAAATTGTTAGTGGGCGAAGTTAATACTTAACCGTCAAAATTAAACCGTTTAATACCTTTAACAGCTTTAAAAGATTTGTACTACGAGCCCTAACCACTATTAATTGGTACGGCTAGGTTTTTTTCGATAGAGCAACTTTAAATGACCTTTTTTTATTTGTGGGTCAGGATTGCACAAACTTATTTGTTATATTTATACTTTTTGAAAAGGCCATTGAATTATTATGAATAATGCAAAAAAACAATTTAAATAAGACAACTTCATAATACACGAAATAATTTTGACCATTATTAATTGGCACGGCAATATTATTTTTTTAAATAAGGCTGTAAAAAAGTGAAAGTAACCTTATATAAATAACATGTGCCTTTGAGTTGTAATTTTTAATAAGTTTTCTACTTTTTGAGCACGATGGCACGCGGTAAGCCAGTTTGTGAGTAAGGTCGAGCTTCAAATATAGAAAAATTCAATTTGGTCAACAGCTATGGCAAAGTATGAAAAAATCATATGCTGTCTAAGTCAACGGTACAAAAAAGTGCAAAGGTATAGAGAGATTGACAATATTCACAGTAATACAGCAAACAGAGGTCGAGTCTCAAAAAGACTTCACGTGACAAAGAAGTTTGTCGTCTATAATTCAAAATTTGCGAAGAACTGTGATAGATATAGGGACAAAATGCTCCGAAAATATTGGGAAAACAGTAAAACATTAATGGCCGCGACAAAAAATGAAACGAACTTAATATGGCTTCTATAAGGTATGATTGCAGGTCCTGTTGAACATAACAAATAATTTTGATGTCTTTAGGTCAAAGAAAAAGTTTGCTCACAGCTTTACCAATAAAAAGAAGAAAGGAATGCTAAAGTCGAGCAGGCTCAACTCTCAAATACCCTGTACCACCCAACAAAAAAGAAATTAAATTAATTAAATCAATTAATTAATTAAATTAAATTAATTAACTAAATTAATTTAATTAATTAACTAAATTAAATATAAAATATTCCATGCATGCATACATACATACATTTACATCAGAATCGTGTCTATGCGTGTTTGTGTACTTGTACATAGTATGTATGTATGTGTGCATTGGGCCTGGTTATATGGCTATAACTTTCTTTCTGATCAATCTATCATAATGAAACTTGGTATACGGATATATAATTACTAACTGGATGTGTCTACCAAATTTTAGTTCAAAATTCCAAGAATTACGGGAGTTATAGAAAATCGGTAATAGGGGGGAGTGGGGGGGTGGATCAGAAAAAATGAACAAACTCGTCCTTTCTCGGGCTCAGGAGAATCTGTATACCAAGTTTTGTTATTCTAGCTCTTATACTTTCGGAGATCCTTGCGTTCATACAGACAGACAGACAGCCGGCGAGACGGACATGGCTATATCGATTCGGCTTGTCATGCTGATCAAGAATATATATACTTTGTGGGGTCTACCAAGCCTCCTTCTGTGTGTTCCATGTGCACTCGCACAAAACTAATATACCCTTGTACCCTTTGGGTACAGGGTATAAAAAGATGATACTCATTAATTTAATTAGTAAATATATTTGCCGAAGTACCAATTAATAATGATCGAGAAGATTTCGTGTATTATGAAAGTTGACTTATTTAAATTGATTTTTTACATTATTGTTTGTGAAACGTGAGCATATTTTGATATGAAATCAAAGGTAATTCAAATACCTTTTTAAAAAGTATAAATATGTTTGGGAAATAAACACCTAAAAAGAAATATAAGTCACTAAAAGTTGCACTATCGGAAAAAATTTAGCCGTACCAATTAATAGTGCTTAGGGCTCGGAGTCCCAGTTTAATCTGCGTTTAAATTTCTGTACACTGCGGATCGTACGTGCAAGTGGTGAACAACTGCTATTCGAAAATAGCGAACGTACGACATGCACATGTGTATGTATTCATGCTTACATACCAGTATGTCGCTGGCTTCCGACGTACGTTGCTGGTAGAATAGTCATTTGACTGACATTCCGTACATTTCCGTCAGTATTGATACCATCATCAAGGTGAATGTACACTTCGGAATGCAGTTTTGCTTGATTCAGTCTGATAAATGTCAATTGCTGTCCCAGTTTTGATGTATGTGTCGGAGAAGGGTTAGATAATTCGCGCTATGGAGCACAGCAATTCGCAGTTGTAGTGTTGCCTTCACTCACATCACTCACTTCTTCAAGGCTCGCTGCCTTACTCGTTCTCTTCTTTCTTTTTGTTCTTTGACATTTCCTTTTTTCTACTGCCTAGACAACAACAATGCGCTTTGCTCGGCTAAGGCAATATTTGCTCTTAAACCTTGCTCTTATTATAGTCTGCAATCCGTTGGATCACATGACACATCCTCTTTGTATTTGTTTTACACACAACATCATTTAATGATTTACAATTCTTTATTTAAGTGTTATTCTTCTACATATGTATGTATGTGCAGATCGACAGCACATTGATGAAATAGGCGCCGACATTGTCACATTTTCGCAAACCATAAACTAAATTGTTTAATCGTTTCATGGCCTGTTAATGCGTTTATGTATTAATTACTGATCTGTAGGTGGATTTATCATCTTGATCGTAAAATGATAACCATATTATCTTTACAAAAAAAAAGAAAAAATAGGTGTATTTCGAGTATACGCAATGACGATAATGGCGACATTATCAATTGTTGGAGCTTTTTAGTGGCTTGAATGGCAGACTTCTTATCAACTCTAATGGCAATTTTACAATGATCAGATGACGTGCGATCTATCGCAGTTCGCAAATAGGTCGCAATTATTACACAAGGGTGAAATAAATTTAAAAATATGTATAGCCTGCGTTTGGAGGGGGCAATAGAGAACCTGCTCGGCCTTGAATCTGTAAAATTTAATAATAATTACTTGTATGATAACGGTGTGTCGAATGGGTTGGATAAAAGGGGCCTTGCAAGTAGGTATGAAGCTGTCCCGATGTCATTTGTTTTTCTGTATTCCGACAAGATTCTTTCTGCAACTATCCCAAACTAATGTGCGCAATATCTCTGTTGGTGAAATCAATGGCGACAATTTAACTTTTCCATTCGCATAGCACAATCCAGGAGTTGTATTTTCAAATTTCATTGACTTACAATGTGGACATACAGCGCTTATGTATCTTATAACAACAGATTGGTCTGCACTATAATCGGTTGTAGCATTGTAACTAAACGCAGGTCTAAGGCTATTTAATGGCCCGTTGGTTTATTTTCGTATAAGTTTATACAAATTCTTCATGCGAATATTTCTTTGATTTACAGGGTTGCGAGATCTGCGTCCTAAAAGGCTTCTCCTTATTCGTCTAATATGTACCTAATACCGTTTAAAAATGTACTTCAGTAAAATTGATATTTGTGCAAAATTTGTTTTTGATATTACCGCTATTTTTACAGAGATGTACTTGTATGTATATGATTTGTGAATGTAAATCTTGTCCCTTATGCTTTGTGATGCTTTGTCATACATTTGTTTTTTATCAGATCTACTACCGTTATAATTAAGAAGAATACAATGTCACACGTTTCATAGAAAATTGATAATTGTCAAATTTATCCTTTTACATTTTACAATGAGACGTATATATATATATATATTTTTTTTTTATTCATTTTTATTCCGCTTGGGAGGTTAGGGCTTCTACAAGAACATTTTTTCATCTGATTCTGAATTTCTAGCCGTCTGTCTGTCTGTCTTGGCTGTAGCTGTATCCCATGTGGTGTTGTTTCTGGATTAAATTCTGAAGGTAATCCGCCGCCCGGTTGTCGTCTTTAGGTCTGTCGACCCGACTGCTTCCTTGGGAGTTTTCGTAACATCGACATCGAAGTGGAGCCCTTTTGGGTTCATATGTCTTATATAAGTTTCCATAATTAATTGTTGTCAGTCGACCTGGTGATTGGCTAGATGCGACTTATCCCAGTGGTGGGGCTGCCACCTGTCGCCGCCGGGGAGAGGCGTCTTGGGGGGTTATTGTGTTGTCCAGAT